ACCCTTCTTAGGCACTTGCTGTGTGCATGAAGGGAACATGCCTATCTGCTGCAAACATCTCATGGGTTTACCCCCAGAGCCAGTGCTCCATGGCATGGGGTAACTAAAGGCACTGATGACTACCGAGACATTTAACATTACAAGAAAACTCTGCTTCTACACAATTTCTCCTCAAGAAAGGCAAATGATTTGACCAAACATTGACAGTAAGTTGCTTTCTTCCTAATAATCACTGGAACACAAGCTGCCACCTCTTGTAGAAAAGCGGTAGTCACAGAAGTTTCTATCATATCTGCTCATCTCAATACTTCTACTAAGACACAGAAAACAGTCAGACCTTGTAGCACTCCTTTTGTCTTCCTCTGAAATCAGGAGCCACACAAAATCGGCATAACTCATGCGGCCTTCCTTTTGAACTTCATTGCCTCTGGAAGACACATGAGAAAAAAAAACAAACCCAAAACCAAACCACCAGGCTCCTAAATACTCAGAATGTTATCAAATGTTTTTCAAAAGCCCCAAATAATTGGTGAGAGAAAATGGGGCATCATCACCCATTTAGCCTGCACTCCCCAGCACCACTCCCTGTGCCCTTTGCCACAGGCACAGCATTTGCTGCCTTGCTGTCACTGCAGCGCTGAGGCTCATCTACCACATTCCCTCCCACAAGTGCTGGGCTGGTTTTTTTTTTGGAGACTTTAAAGCAGAGTTCTCCGCTACCCCTGTGCCACTGTGGGGCACAAACACATAGTGCTTGCATGTTCCCTCCAGCTATGCCCAGCTTGTTCTACAATGAGGTCCACAGGTGGCCATCCTATGGGCTTTTTTAATTTGTTTTCTTAAGATACCCAGAAGTCTCACTCCATTCTCAGGCAGCTCTAACTGGAGCACCATGTTGGAAACCAATCTGATCAGTGGGGATTTTTGAGGGCATCTTGCATTTCTAATCAGCCTGACAGAAATTCCCTTCACTTCTATCCCCAACCAGTCCACTATTCCTCACCTCACCACAGCGCCGCTGAATATTCGCTCAATAATCCTGTTTGATAAAGCTGGAAACAAAGAAAACACAGGGGAAATGAAGCTACAGGTCACAGGAATAACTACAATCAGTTGTTTATGCTGAATCCACACAAAGCAATTTCCCATTGCTAAAAGAATGCTATATCTACATTGCCTGTCTAACCACTTTACTGGTCTCTGTTCAGAAGCATTTTGTAAAAAACAAAGATGATTCTCCCAGCGTGTCTGCCTTTATATCCTCCCAAACACCACATTTCCCCACAAATATGGCAACTGTGTGTTATCTGGATCCTTGGACATGGGTAGTGTTACTCCTACTTTGCTGCAGTAGGATTTGTCACATAAGCAAATCCTGCTGATAGGAGGAGACTATTTCAGTATGTATTGCAAAAGAAGTTCAGTTATCAAGCAGAAATCACACATCGAATCCCTACAAAACACTTCTTAGCAGAGCACAAGCTGTGGCAATCCTGCTGCAGGGAAGGACAATGAAAAACAAGCATCATTTTAGGTGAGTGGGAGGGCTTTGCCAGCCAGGAAATGTGTGGGATAGATTGTTATGGCAGAGACACACCAGCCAAGCAGTAAGTACCAGTCTTGAGTAGGATTTGCACACTGACCTCACCCTCCAAGCCTGCTGACACACTTCCTTTAGATCCCCACCTTAGCTCCTTCCACATGTTCTCCATCACTTCTGTAGTCCTGGCACACTTCCAACACAGCAGCCAGGCAGACACAACCTGCACCACCCCTCAAATCCGCCTGGCACAGTGCTGACAGGCTGCTGTACCGCTGCACTGACGGCTTCTCCCCTTCACCCTGCCCACAGCACCCCTTCTATCTTTAGCTCCCCAGCACCCACTGCTCTCAAGCCTCCTGTGCAACAAATACTACATCCCCACACTCCAGCCTCCCAGCAGGGACCAAGTCCCCCATATCACCTACCCCAAGTCAGGCACTCCTCCATCCTCACCCCACCCAGCCCCATTATCAACGCTCCTGACCCCTGTGACTACCACACTCACCCAGAACCCCTATGGCCTTCCCATAAATGCCTGCGCTCAGAACACATGGGCCACCACACCACTCTGACACATACCTACAGCATTGTCATTCTCACACTCCCTTCCTTCTTTCTTACTTCAGCCCACTAGGATCTGGGCTCCTATGAAATGTTGTCCCCATCTCCAGAGCTCCAGCAATGCCTGACAACTTGTCACACCTCCAGATCCCTGTAGCCCTACACACTACAACACCTTACCACATACTTCACCTTTCCTGCCACCTCCAGTCACACGTTGTGTCCAAACATCCCATTTCCCCAAATCTGATTCTCTGTCCCAGACCTACTTTCCCCAAAAGTGGAGCAACCACACAGAAGAATCCAAGAAGGCTTTGTCTTCAGGATTAAACATGCTGGTCAATAGCTCAAGCTCTTGTCCAAGACATCATGAGTCCTAACAGGTAAGTACATGGGCATATCATGCTCTCAGAACATGGATAATCCTAAAAACAGCTGACCTGAGTGCCTCCATCTAGCACAATGCACACAGAACAAGTGCCTTTGGATTTTTTAGCCCTTTGTGGATTTGTATTCCATTAACTTATCCATGGCCCTTGAACCTTTGAAAATATAGCATCTGCTCAACTTATGGAAAGGATTTCCACACTGAACTCAAGTGATACTCTCCAGAGTGCATCTGCAAACTGAGTGCTTCTGCAAACTGAAATTCACCAAGTTTCACTGGACTCTAGAATTTCTCTCACGCATTACGAGATTGCACTGCAGCAATCTTTGCAGTTCACATGGGCTTGTCCTTCTTGTCCCTACTTCCAAGTTCCTGCAAAACCCTTAGTAAATAATAAGCAAGTTTCAAGACATTATTTTAGCTTGTCCTTCTGGCAGTGACCCACGCATCAACAGAAGCTCCCTCTCTAGCTACTCATGCAGAAAATAGCGTGTACTGCATTTCTCTGTGTCTAAGCCCCTACAACTGGCTGTGTAAATCAGCATTTGTGTAAGAGATAGATGACTCCATTTAAACTCTTTCGAGGCATCAAATTAACCAAATTAAAGCTAGGCTTTACTCTTTAGTGGGAACATTCTATTTTCAGCAATCCCCTTCGTCCCACCACAGCTTGCAGGCAGCATACCTTGATCACTGTACCTAGCCAGATCCTTCTGGCTGATGTAAAGATCATGGTCAGTGTCCAGCTCCCAGAATTTACAGTATATAACATAGAAGTGCTCATAGGAGAAATAATCTGTGATCTGATTTATGTCATCCTCTTCTTCCAAGAGAGCAAGAGTCTGAAAGAGTACAAATAAAGTGGGAAGTTAAACCTAGACAAAGAGGCAGTTCAGCAGCTGAAGTCCTCCAATCTCTTTGGAAGTTGGGTGAACACAGCTCTGAGAGCTAATCCAAAATGCAGCCTTTCCCCCCTGTAGGAGATTTTTTTGCTGCATTCCTTAACAGGCACTTATAGAGCATCTGGCTTGGCTATCCTGGTTAGCATATGTATGCACAGTATTTCTGCCACTCCTGTGAACAATTTGTGCTAATTTTCAGCTATAGTGAAGAGTGAGGCAGAGAAACAAGAACACAACTGCTGTCTCAGCTGGGATCCATTGTTTGTGAAACATTTCTGCCCTGCACCAGAGACTCTTAGAGCCATTTATAACAGCAAGTCCACAGTTCTCCACTGGAACTGAGATATATCTTTACACATCACACATACTTGCCTGGCTCCCAACGGGCAAAATCAAGTCTTGCTTCAGACTCATGCCTGGACTGGGGAAGGAGGGATGGATCCCAAGCAGATCAAACCAATCACACCGATTTTCCTGGGCTGTCGCTGACAGGAATTAGTCTGGTTTAACTGGGAGGCTTAGACAGATTTCCAACCATGACACCTGTTAATGTCTTGCTGGAAAACATTTAGTGACAATGTCCTTGTTTCATGCC